CCCCATTGTAATACGTGGGATCTATGTCCCCATTGTAATACGTGGGATCTATGTCCCCATTGTAATACATGGGATCTATGTCCCCATTGTAATATGTGGGATCTGTACCCCCATTGTAATACATGGGATCTATGTCCCCATTGTAAAACGTGTGATCTGTGCCCCATTGTAATACGTGGGATCTATGTCCCCATTGTAATACATGGAATCTGTACCCCATTGTAAAACGTGGGATCTGTGCCCCCATTGTAATACTTGGGATCTGTCCCCCCATTGTATGTAAAACGTGGGAGCTGTGCCCTGTAATACATGGAATCTGTACCCCATTGTAAAACGTGGGATCTGTGCCCCCATTGTAATACTTGGGATCTGTGCCCCCATTGTAATACATGGGATCTGTGTCCCCATTGTAAAACGTGGGAGCTGTGCCCCCATTGTAATATGTTGTAATACGTGGGATCTGGGTCCCCATTGTAATACGTGGGATTTGTGCCCCCATTGTAATACGTGGGATCTGTGCCCCATTGTAATACGTGGGATCTATGTCCCCATTGTAATAGTGGGATCTATGTCCCCATTGTAATACGTGGGATCTATGTCCCAATTGTAATACATGGGATCCATGTCCCCATTGTAATACGTGGGATCTGTGCCCCCATTGTAATATGTTCTATGTCCCCATTGTAATACGTGGGATCTGTGCCCCCATTGTAATCCGTGGGATCTGTGTCCCCATTGTAAAACGTGTGATCTGTGCCCCCATTGTAATCCGTGGGATCTATGTCCCGTTTGTAATACGTGGGATCTATGTCCCCATTGTAAACCGTCTGATCTGTGCCCCCATTGTAATACGTGGGATCTATGTCCCGTTGGTAATACGTGGGATATGTGCCCCCATTGTAATACATGGGATCTGTGCCCCCATTGTAATACGTGGGATCTATGTCCCGTTTGTAATACGTGGGATATGTGCCCCCATTGTAATACATGGGATCTGTGCCCCCATTGTAATACGTGGGATTTGTGCCCCCATTGTAATACATGGGATTTGTACCCCCATTGTAATACGTGGGATCTGTGCCCCCATTGTAATATGTTCTATGTCCCCATTGTAATACGTGGGATCTGTGTCCCCATTGTAAAACGTGTGATCTGTGCCCCCATTGTAATACGTGGGATCTGTGCCCCCATTGTAAAACGTGGGATCTATGTCCCCATTGTAATACGTGTGATCTGTGTCCCCATTGTAATACGTGGGATCTATATATGCCCCCATTGTAATACATGGGATCTATGTCCCCATTGTAATACGTGGGATCTGTGCCCCCATTGTAATACGTGGGATCTGTGCCCCCATTGTAATACGTGGGATCTGTGTCCCCATTGTAACAGTGGGATCTGTGCCCCCATTGTAATATGTGGGATCTGTGCCCCCATTGTAATACGTGGGATCTGTGCCCCCATTGTAATACGTGGGATCTGTGTCCCCATTGTAATACGTGGGATCTGTGTATGCCCCCATTGTAATACGTGGGATCTATATGTGCCCCCATTGTAATAAGTGTGATCTGTGTCCCCATTGTAATACGTGGGATCTGTGTCCCCATTGTAATATGTGGGATCTGTGCCCCCATTGTAATACGTGGGATCTATATATGCCCCCATTGTAATACGTGAGATCTGTGTCCCCATTTTAATACTAGGGATCTGTGCTCCCATTGTAATACATGAGATCTGTGCCCCCATTTTAATACTAGGGATCTATGCCCCATTGTAATACTAGGGATCTGTGCCCCCATTGATATACGTGGAATTTGTGCCCCAATTGTAATACATGAGATATGTGCCCCATTGTATTATGTGGGATCTGTGCCCCCATTGTAATACGTGGGATCTGTGCCCCCATTGTAATACGTGGGATCTGTGCCCCCATTATAATATGTGGGACCTGTGCCCCCATTGTAATACATGAGATATGTGCCCCCATTGTAATACGTGAGAGCTGTGCCCCCTTTGTAATACGTGCGATCTGTGTCCCCGTTGTATTATGTGGAATCTGTGCCCCCATTGTAATATGTGGAATCTGTGCCCCAATTGTAATACGCGGGATTTATGCCCCCATTGTATTACGTGGGTCTGTGCCCCCATTGTAATACTAGGGATCTATGCCCCAATGTAATACGTGGGATCTGTGCCCCCATTGTAATACATGAGATCTGTATCCCCGTTTTAATACTAGGGATATATGCCCCATTGTAATACTAGGGATCTGCTGCCCCCATTTTAATACGTGAGAGCTGTGCCCCCATTGTAATACGTGGGATCTGTGCCCCCATTATAATACGTGGGACCTGTGCCCCCACGTATTACAATGGCGGCACAGATCGCACGTATTACAATGGGATCTGTGCCCCCATTGTAATACGTGGGATCTGTGCCCCCATTGTAATATGTGGAATCTGTGCTCCCATTGTAATACGTGCGATCTGTGCCCCCATTATAATACGTGGGATCTGTGCCCCCATTGTAATACGTGCAATCTGTGCCCTCATTGTATTACAATGGGGGCACAGGTCCCACGTATTACAATGAGGGCACAGATCGCACGTATTACAATGGGGACACAGATCCCACGTCTTACAATGGGGGCACAGATCCCACGTATTACAATGGGGACATAGATCCCATGTATTACAATGGGGCAATGGGGACATAGATCCCACGTATTACAATGGGAGCACAGATTCCACATATTACAATGGGGGCACAGATCCCACGTATTATAATGGGGGCACAGATCGCAAGTATTACAATGGGAGCACAGATTCCACATATTACAATGGGGGCACAGATCCCACGTATTACAATGGGATCTGTGTCCCCATTGTAATACGTGCAATCTGTGCCCTCATTGTAATACGTGGGACCTGTGCCCCCATTGTAATACGTGGGATCTATGTCCCCATTGTAATACGTGGGATCTGTGCCCCCATTGTAATACGTGGGATCTGTGCCCCCATTGTAATACGTGGGATCTGTGTCCCCATTGTAATACGTGCGATCTGTGCCCCCATTGTAATACGTGGGATCTGTGTCCCCATTGTGATTCGTGGGATCTGTGCCCCCGTTGTAATACGTGAGATCTGTGTCCCCATTGTAATACGTGGGATCTGTGTCCCCATTGTAATACGTGTGATCTGTGTCCCCATTGTTATACGTGGGATCTGTGCCCCCATTGTAATACGTGGGATCTGTGTCGCCATTGTAATACGTGGGATCTCTGTCCCCATTGTAATACGTGTGATCTGCGTCCCCATTGTTATACGTGGGATGTAATACGTGTGATTTGTGTCCCCATTGTAATACATGGGATTTGTGCCCCCATTGTAATACGTGCGATCAGTGCCCCCATTGTAATATGTGGGACCTGAGCCCTAATACGTGAGATCTGTGTCCCCATTGTAATACATGGGATCTATGTCCCCATTGTAATACGTGGGATCTCTGTCCCCATTGTAATACGTGTGATCTGCGTCCCCATTGTTATACGTGGGATCTGTGCCCGCATTGTAATACGTGGGATCTGTGTCCCCATTGGAATACCTGGGATCTGTGTCCCCAGTCTAATACGTGGGATCTGTGTCCCCACCCATTGTAATACGTGGGATCTATATATGCCCCCATTGTAATACGTGGGATCTGTGCTCCCATTGTAATACGTGGGATCTGTGCCCCCATTGTAATACGTGCGATCTGTGCCCCCATTGTAAAACGTGGGTCTGTGCCCCCATTGTAATACGTGCGATCTGTGCCCCCATTGTAACATGTGGGATCTGTGCCCCCATTGTAATACGTGGGATCTGTGTCCCCATTGTAATACGTGGGATCTGTGCCCCCATTGTAAAACGTGGGTCTGTGCCCCCATTGTAATACTAATACATGGGATTTGTGCCCCCATTGTAATACGCGGGATTTGTGCCCCAATTGTAATACGTGGAATCTATGCCCCCATTGTAATACGTGCGATCTGTGCCCCCATTGCAATACGTGGGATTTGTGCCCCCATTGTAATACGTTGGATTTTTGCCCCCATTGTAATACGTGGGATTTGTGCCCCCATTGTAATACATGGGATTTGTGCCCCCATTGTAATACGTGGGATTTGTGCCCCAATTGTAATACGTGGAATCTATGTCCCCATTGTAATACGTGGGATTTGTGCCCCCATTGTAATACGTGGGATTTTTGCCCCCATTGTAATACGTGGGATTTGTGCCCCCATTGTAATACGTGGGATTTGTGCCCCCATTGTAATACGTGGGATTTGTGCCCCCATTGTAATACGTGCATGGGATCTGTGTCTTTTCTCACTCTCTACTCGTTCTTTTCGGTGTTGCCTCCCTTGCCACAGGAATGTTGAAATAAAAGGGCATGGGAGATGAATATCACAGTCAGACCGCTCTGTGGGACCACGGACCGCTCTGTGGGACCACGGACCGCTCTGTAGAAGGGGGTGTCTTCTGTATCCCTCAATGTGTGTACGAGGCATTTACATACAGAGCCATTTTTTTGTATATATTCATGAGGTTGACGTCACCCATGTGCCGAGACCCGTGGCGTGATTGGATGAAAGAAAATAACCAGCCTACCAACGCTACATGTTTCTATAAAGTTGTTGTACAAAAGTTTAAAAATCACTCTTTCAAAAGCTTTACCAACAGTGGACAGCAAAGAAATTGATCTATAATTCGAAGGAGAATGTCTGTCACCCTTTTTAAACAATGACATGATATTAGCTCATTTCCATTTATTTGGATAAATCCCTGTTAATATGGACATATTAAATACTATTTCGAGCGGAGTACAAACAGTGTGAGCAGTATTTCTTAGCAGATGGTGGCTGATTCGATCCCCACCCGAGGCCGTGCCGAGCTTCAATATCTGTAGAACATCGCGTCTTTCAGTTGAACTAATTTGAACTAATTTATTTGTCAGTTTTTGGCTCAATAATCGGAACATCAGTGTTACTATCATCTACTCTAGTAATGCTACAAAATAAATATTAAACTCTATGGCTTTATCTTCATCACTAGTAACTATGGCATTAATAATAGGATCGACTAAGGAAGGTATAGGTTGTGAAGTATCAGACGTTTTAATTAACCTTTTAATTAATTTCCAATGACTTAGGATCAGAAGATGAGTACCCATCAATAACATCATAAACATTTTCATAAAAAGTAATACGTGCATGCTTTTTCATATTATTAACTTTGTTTCGCTGTGATTTGAATTTATTAATATCTACCAAACGTTTGGTTGACCTCGCTATTTTACTTAACCTATCCCTAATTCTTATAAAAAATTATTCAATTATGATTAGATATAAGTATATTAAATTTTTCAAAATTTGCACTCTCGTACTGCCAAATCTTACGTCTAAAGACTGGTTTAAAAAGACAAGGAATGTTAATGGAAGCAGTACAACCATCATGGTTACTAAATGTTCTATCAACAGAAATTACAGAAGAGTCAATACAAGAAATAGAGTCAGATAATAGTATAGGATCTAGTAAACTAGAGTACGAGTACGAGTAGGATCTTTTATAACATTAGTTAGTGATAAGGAGTTAATGATGTCAAAAAGAACGTGATTATTTGAAGCAGTGAAGAAGTCAACATTTAAGTCCCCTGTTACTATAACATTAGGAGAGATATGAGGAGCATTATTTATAGACGACCTTAAATGTTCTCCTTCTTCTTCTTTTTTGACTTTATTCCTCCATAAATGAAGAGTACATATATGAAAATGTAATAATATTTTGACAAAGAATTAGAAAAATTAGTAGATATCAATAAAGTGTAGGCATAGCAAAGGTTACATAAATGACATATATTGATCGTACTAGATCAAGGCGTCAATGAGGAAAAATACACAAACAGGAAATATAAGAAGGGACAAAAGTTATAAATACATGTTTGAGACAAATTCAATTTGATTGTATATATACACATTTACTGGAAAGTGAATTCAGCAGCTTTG